AATCATTGTTAGCAAGACCTACAAGAATGACACATTCCTGTGTGAAAGTGGATCTAAGATGATTTTAGTGATGAATGACAGTACTCACTGTTTCCTCAGACCAATCCAATTATGAAAGGAAGGCAAAACCATAAATATAAAGCAAATTGATAAGATGGAGAGCTAGGTCTTAAATTCAGATAAATTTAACACAGGGTCCCTGTATTCATAATGATATTTTATTGTCCAGTGCTGTCTGGGCAAAAGCCTCCAGGGTTTTGTGTGTTCTCCTTTAGTTTGGCAGTTTTGCAATGGTCTGCCCTGCTCAAAGGTCACACAAGAGCAATTCTGCAGGGTCATGGAGGGAAATTAGAGGTGTATCTGGGACAGAAAATCAGACACACATCTTTATACAGAGTGTAATGGGGGAGCATCTGGAATGTCTTCCCATCCAAGTACTTCAAGCTGATGCTGGGCTTGTACAAGCGATTTGGATTCAGTCACCTCTAGTAAACCAAATGGTTTCCTCACTTTAGTAATCCTTCTTATATTATCGTGTTGTCACGAGGTGTGAGGGGATGTTTCTCTTTTCTGCTTTAACCCACTAACCCTGTCCTGTAGAGCTTTAGCACTGTACATTTTTACAAGGAGACTAAAATACTCCACACATTCCCATCAGCTGCATCAGCAGACATACTGCAGCCTGGGATTATTCATTTTCTTAGCAAACTAACTTTATGTTCAGAAGGAACAAGTAATAGGTTTATTCCATGCTGAAAAAAAGAAGAGAGAAAAAACACAACATTTCCGCCGTGGAGCCTTCTTCAGGTGTGTTCTCTCTTCTTTTTTTTCCAGCATGGAATAAACCTATTACTTGTTCCTTTACACCCTACGCACGCTGACGCAGCTACCCACCTGAACTACTTTATGTTCAGAATGTTGACATAACAAATGTATCTTGTCAACCAGATTGTGATAATGAGTGCACACACAAATTCCGACTGTGAGTACCCCTGGATTCTCTCCAAGCAGAGTTAGAGAAGCAATGACATTTTCTACTTACCTTTACTCACTCCAAGAGCAAGTTCATGTCTTCAGCCAGCACAGGTAAATAACTTGTATTTCACTGAGGTTGTGCTATGCAACAGTCTCTGTACAGTGCAGCCCTAAGCTAATGTTACAGCTCATAGCTCAAGAGCTTAAAATATGCAAAAGAGGGACATTAGTTTATCATTAATCTGTAAAGTGCCTGTACCATGGAAGATAATTCCTGCAGTTTAAATGAAGAGAAGCTGAGCAGTTATGGTTGAGGATATTAAAAGCATTTAAAAAGAAGATGTTGTCCCCCTTAAGAAACCCCTTAAGAAATGTATACTATTTCTTACAGAAAGTGAGAAACAAATTACATCACATATTAGAAAGTAAATTTTACTTTTATATTTTTTGAATGATCAAAGTTGGAAGCTATGACCTTAGCTAACAGTAGAGTGCTAAAGAGCACAAAAATTGGATTCCCATCAAGAGATATCTTTGGAGCAAAAATGACACATTTACAAATTACACTGGGATCAGTGGGGTAATGAAACTATTTGTTCATCTGGCATTTATAATTTAGACGTTTTATCAGTTTTATTTGTATAGCAATGCTACTGTTAAGAGAAATTGAATGAAATACATGATGGTATTATTCATTTGGGAAATCCTTTTGTTTTTAAAAAATGTAAAAGCTACTGTATATGATGGCATTTACGGAACCATGCCTTTTTAGAAAAAGAAATTGCAATACATTCATGCCTGGGGTATAAGTATAATCTAGAGACAGTAAGATGTGCTTCCTTTTATGCTTGGTGGTGTGCCATACAGTATGTATTTCACTTGTGTCAAGGCTGCTTCTTACAGTATAAAGCTACAGGACTGCACCCACACAGCATTTGAAAGAAATTTTACAAAAGAGGTTTCTTGTTTTGTGCATTTATTTATTTATATCTGCTTCATTTCTGGCTCCACTAGATGAATCACTCACAAAATGGCAAAAGACAGCACAGGTCCACTGGCTCCACTTCCCCTGTCCAGTCCTCTGGTGCCTGAAGAGGCCCACACTAAACCACTTCTCTGAAACAACATGACCCTTGACAGTGAGCCCCCGGGTGCCTGAGGAACAGACCTGCTGCACTGAATCTCAGGACAAAAGCTGGGATCAGTTCAGCTGGCTGCATTCCAGGCAGCTTTTTCTAAAAACCAGAGTGCATCTATGGTCCTATCCTGATATACTTGCCATCTTCTTAATTGCTGCACTTGTGCCCACATCCAAACTGAACCAAGACTGACATCTGCTTGTGAGACATTCATTTAAAGTTGAAATCAGTGTCTCCTTTAACATTGTGTGAAACAGAAGAAGATCCAACTATGCAACGAAAACAATCACGCAAGCAGATGGTAAGTATTGTTAGTGTCTCTCCCTGAGTCAAAATGAAAAATAAAAACCTTTTTGAATTGCAAATGTAGACTGAGTAATATACTCTATATATATAGTAGAAAATAATATTTATGTTACCATGTAGAACTTTATTGATAAGACTAGAAAACTGAGATGTTTCTCAATAACTTCCTGCCTGTCTGTGTCTCCCTACTTGTCAGGTCAGAGTAGCCCTCTTTTCAATTAAAAGTAATTTAGTATGAAAGTGTGTGCAATGTGAATGTGATTCTAGATCCCACCCCTTTCACACAGAGAAAAATAAAATTTCCATTTGTTATCAATTGACCTACCCCTCTATGTTTGCCTCAAATGTGCTGCATTCCCTGATTAGACTAATTAAATCACCCTCACTATGAAAGACCTCTACTTCCTCTCATCCATAGCTGAAATTGAACATTCCACTCTTTAAATACAAAATGCTTCTCTGAAGAACTGCTGAAAAGAATGTTGAACCAAATATATACCATTTTCATTAGCATAGAAGCTATAACTTACCTTAGCCTGATATCCTGTTTGATTCTGTCTTATTGATACTATACATGGCAACTCAGAAAAGCTTAAATTTCCCGTAATCACATTCACACCTGATTATTCTTTAAATTATTTTGATTTTCAGTAAAACATTTTAAAATTCACAAAGATTTTCTGGACAATGACAACATATTTTTTTGTAGTAGGTAGACTAACACTACACATGACGTGTGTTAAATTCATCATACTGTTTAATATATGTCACCAATAGTATTGATAAACAGAAGGGCTACTGTAAAAGTCACAGGCTAGTAGAAAGAGTAAGCAATACAAGCTGTACATCTCTGTTGAATGCCTTGCACCATGTTGCACATGGTATCTGGTGGGATTCTGTAATAATCCTCTTGTAAAGCCTGCACAAGTCTGTAGAGTACCCGGTCACTGGACACAGAGCAATAGAACCCACATGTCTTCCCAGCACATCCCAAAAATTTTTAAGGGGTTTCAAGTCTGGTCATCCACAGGATAAGTAATACATTCTCAACTTGTAAAAATGCAATTTTTACACACACAGAATGAGAATGTGCACTAACCTATTGGAATACTAATACATCAGGATGAGCCCATAGGAAGGACAGCAAGTGAGGTCCCAGGACTTAATGTTTTGCCTTGCAATCAGGTTGCCATTAATCAATACAAGTTGAGTTCACTAGGAGCTATGCAATTCTGTCTAAACCAAATAATGGCCAGTTGTACTACACAACAGTTAGTAAAGCATGAGGGGGGCTCCATAAAACCTTAATTCTTTACTAAAGAGATTTCTCTCCACAGCTGGAAAGCCCTCCAGAGGTTTTATTTTACCCTACTCAGATCACAAACATAAGAGGACATATTGATTCCTTTATATTTCGTTCTTGATTTTCACCAGGCTTGCTATTCACCTCATCACCCCTCAACTGTCTCAATAATTAGGACATTTAGCATTTACACAACAGCCAACAATCACTCAACTGAATTCCAAACAAATGATCAATTAAAAAATGATGTCTAAAATTTTTAATTAATATCCAAAATATGATGAATTCCTTTTATCTTTGATGATAAAACTTACAGTATTTTGCCACTCAGTGGCATTAAGTTTAAAGCTGCACAAATCCATCAGCTGCAAGTGTTAATTAAAAAAAGTAAAAGCATACAACTCCATACCACATACTGTACCATTTTATTCTTTAGCTGAAAGACTAAATACCCCTCCAAAAATTAGAGAGGGAATTTGAAAGGACATTTTGAGAGAAAATTGAGGAGGAAATTTGTTTAGCAATTAAGTTAAAGATCTCTTTCAGACAAAGCAGACAAACTTGTTCCACCAGGTTAAAGCAACCTGCTCCAGAATGTAAACCTACAGTAACTCAGCGGTTGAGCAGGAAAATGCTCAAAAGAAAACATTTTCAGATCTCCAATTCCTTAGAAAAATACCATGTGTACATACTGGAGATTAGTTCTTGCTTAACAAATGTGTTTTTAGCAGGAACACAGGAATCCTTGTAGGATTTATACCAGTTTTTTTATGAAAAATATTCAGAGCAGTGGGACACAATAGCCCTAGAGCAGAGGCTTCCCGAAGGTGTCAACATCATACTTATAAATTCACCATATCAAAACAGAGCCACAGTATGGAATTAATCCCATTTCCATATGTGCATCAACACATTTTACAGACACTTATTGTAAAGCCATTGCAAGACACAACATTATCCCAACTGAGGGTTTCCACCTCAGCTCAATCACACCTAGCCATGACAGTAACAATCTCAGAACCATAAGGAGTTGTTGCTAAGGGGTTTCCTAAACTTAGCCTTCCTTTTTCAGATATGGAAAAATACTTGTTCTTTTTTGCTGTTTTTCAGCCTGAAAACAATGGCAGCTGAAAAGTGCTTCTTTTAAATTCTGGAAGGAAAAGAACAGCCTCACTACATTGAAAGATGGACTAATGTTTGGAGTCACTGAGGGGTATGTAAAAAAGAAAAACAAATAAGAGATGATTCCCCCTGTTGGGGGATTGTCCAGCACTCACCAGCTTGCATGAGCTGCCCCTGGCGACCAAAGACTTGGGAAAAGGTGGCAGTACTGCAGGTCAGAGTGGTCTCCATTCCTGTCTTTTGTGACCTGGAATAGGTCCTTGCCCAGGAGCAAAAAGTAAGAGGGTGGCTCAAGTGAAGGTCAGAGCCTCAGTGCACCAGCCTGAGAGAGAAAGTGGCAAATTTGGCTCCAGTCTCCAGGCACTGGTCCTGCTGGCTAGGGTTCTGCTCCCCAGATTCCTGATGCACTAAGCCAAGCTGTAGCCCATGGCTCTCTGCACTGCTGACCCTGATGCTTGTCCTTCTCTGAGCTGTTCCTTCTCCTGTGATGGGGTCTGAGCACAGATCTGGAGAGTGCTTCGTTGCGCTTCAGAAACAAGAGCAGAAGCGGGAGAGCATGTGTGTTGTGCGTGTGTATGAACACTGCAACTCCGTAGCTCTCCAATGTCGTGGTGGCTGCTGCCAGCTCTCGCTGCTTCTGTTTCTGCTAAACAGACAGTCTCTAACACAGATCTGTGAAGAGGAGAGAGCCAGTGCAGCTCTGGCAGGTGAGAGTCACAGCTGATGCCAGGACAATCAGTGGAACAGGCTGCTCCCTCCTCCCGGCTCCTTTTCCTCTTCTCTTTTGCTTCAGCACATACAGTAAGCAGTCGTAGCTCCCTGCCGGAGGTGCAATGCCGAGCGATGCTGTTATCTCAATGGGCCGGTGCTCCGATCTGTCTAGCATTCCTGCCTGCACCCCTCCCCTCCTCCCATCCCCTGCACTCTCCCTCCCCTCTCCCCCTCTCTCGCTCGCAGCGCTGAAGCAGTAACTGGCTGTCTGCAATTTGCAGCCCCCCTGCGCAGAGCTGGCTCTGGAGTTGCAGGGCAGCACTTCACTTTTTAACTCTAAACCTCCCTGCTCTTCTGGGCAGGGAGGAGAAGTGGGATACATTTACATAATGGAAACATCTGGATATTCATATTATTTACAGAAGAGACTGGTCCAAAGCAGCTTGTCACTCTCCCATTAGGGTTTTGTGTTCAGTGAAAGCTTGTCAAGTTCAGAGAAGGGTGTTAAACCTGGACTTGGCCAGCATCTTTCAATACTTCCTGATTACACAAGCAGAATGTCTACAGTCTGCAGAAATCTGATTATGTAATTTGGTTTTAAGATCAATTGCAGTTTACTATCAAGGATATAGAGGTGATATATCTCACTCTTACAATGCTTTTACAATGCACTTCCAATTCTCAGAAAATATGATCATGCAGACTCTATAAAATCACATTAATTATATGTTGAAATATTCTGCACAAATATTAAAAACACAATATTTCATGTAAAACGTAGTGTGCTATTGACAGTATACTATCAATACACTATAAACTGGTATACTTCACACTACAGTTGCTAAGCCTGCTTGCTGCAACAGTAATCTGATAAACCTGTGTCTATTTTCAATAGAGACTAACCAGAATTTTTCATGGAAAAAATACCAGCAGTTCACTTTCAATAGTGTCATCTATAATGATGTACACACATGGACATGTTTTTGCATGTATATATACTGTGTGCACAAACATTGCATAAAGTCTTTTTAACAAAGTTATTACAGCTTCATGTTTGTCATTCATCACCATCTTCGAGTTCTGAAATACTGAACAAGATCACAACTATAACCAGGCAGTGCTCCGTTCAAACAGATTGACCTTCAAGAACAGCAAAGGCTTCTCTCCAGCAAGGCAGCAGCTTCCTCAGCTGTGGTGCCCAGTTCAACAAAGGTGTGAAGGTAAGGAGGTAGTGCAGTGTATGAAAGAGAAAAGGCTCATTTGTTAAGAGATGGCATACTGCTCTTGGTAGGAAGAAAAGACAAAAAGTCACTGAGCAGGGAAATACCCAGGCAGCACAGCCAGGAGCTAGCCAACTCTACCAGCCCCCCTGCAGACACACACACAGCCGCTTACATGCACACAGAGACAGACATGCACAGACAGATATACTGTATAGACAGAAAAGAGGAAATAAACTATCTAGAATAAAAAAAAGTAATTCTTAATCCTACCATGTTAACAGAGAAAGCAATATTCAAAGCTGCTGGTCCAAGTTACAGTATTTAGTTACCAAAGCCTGTATGAGAGTTTAAAGGAGTTCATTGGAGCTGAGCAGTTCATTGTACTGTTAGAAATAGATTTCCAGTCTGAGCTCTACTGAACAGGCTCAAACCACTAGGCTACTTCATACAATGCTGCAAATAAACAGGTTTATTCCGTGCTGAAAGGAAAGAGGCACTACAGAAGAGGCTGTGGAGCCTTCTTCAGGTGTATGAAGGAGAAGGCCTCTGAGTGAACCTGATGAGAGTTTCAAAGCTGAAACATTGTGTCTCTTTTCCTTAACTTTCAGCAAGGAATACACCTTTACCTCTTTCTTTGCAGCTGACGCAGCTCCCTACTCAAACTTCTTTATAGAGTGCTTGTGAGAAAATCTTTTTCTATTCCACAAGACAGCTTGCAAAGTGAGAAATCATGCTGAAGTCTAATTTAGGACTTTGACTTCCTTCATCAGACTGTTGAAGCATGCTAAAGTACTGACAACAGCATTGAAGAACACATTGAACTTGTTGCTGGGAGGAACTACAGTAGGAATATCCTGTGATAGTCTTGAAAATACACTCTGAAAAAAAATATTATATATATATTATTTAGTGACTTCTAAATGCTATTAAAAGGATAACATTCTATTATACAGGTATATTAAAAATGTGTTCATTCTTTATCGCCAACATGTTTCCACATCATGAACCTAAATGCATAAAGGTTATTTCAGCACTAATACCTAACTGCCTAATATACTGTATGCTTTACAGAGTAAAATAAAATGTAATAGGCCATTGGTTACACAGTTATAACTGATAAGCCTACATTGATTAACTACTTCTAAACTTTGATATGCCATACATTGACAGTGTGTAGTGGGAGGTGCAGTGTCGAGCACAGGTAAGTCAACGCCACCGGGTGAGGGGACGGAAGCACCAGAGTGAGGTAAGCAGGGACTGAAAATAACACCAAAAAGGGTGAAAAATAAACAAAAAGCAAAAGCAAAAGTGTACCGTTGTGCTGCGTTACCTCCAGGCTAGGCTTACTCTAAGTAATAGGGTCCAGCCAGGGAAAAATAACTGCTAGCACAATGGCGACCAGACTGGACTGTCACAGATTTCGGAAAGGACGAACTGTGGAATGACAGGAGAGCGAAAAAAACCCCATGCGTAGCGGCGAGACGGGGGTTAGCCCGGGCTGAGCTGTTCAGAGAATGCCGTATAGAAACCTATGCCCTCAGGTAGCGGACGTGGGGCGACCTGGTGCTAGGCGGGTTTCAGGACATCCAAACGTCAATGCTGAGCGAAGGTGAATGAAAGACCCAGAAATATATAGCCCAAGGAAAGAGACAGACTGGAAGGACAGCAAAACAGGAAACTAGGGACAGGACAGAATAGGAGCGCCCTCTGGTGGCAGAGGGCATGACAGGACTTATCCTACTTAGTGGGGTCCAGTGTGGTAGAGCAGGGTGTGTAAGGCAAAAACTGTGTATGTGAAAAAGGTGTGCCTGCCCCGGTGAAAATACGTGATGGGACAGGCAAAAAGAAAAAGAAGGCCTTACGCGGCTGCAATCCCTTCCGGGACTGTCGGTGTAAAACTCCCTCTTCCAGGGGTGTCCCTGCTTGTCCCTTCGGACGGTGAGTGTGCCTTTTTGGACCTGCCCAGCTGCGCCTCAGCATCTAGAAGCCAGGACAGCTGGGACTACAAAGGCAAGGCGTTGCCCTTCTACCAGTGCTCTAAATCCACACTGGGCACACTGCTATGAATCTAAAATAAAGTAGGACTTTAATAAAGACTGGCCTTAAAATATCAGAGAGGAAAAGCACAGGTACATAATATCTACTACAGCAAAACAGTCCAATACAGTTCATGTATTATCACCTAAACGCTTTCTTATACAGTAAACCTATACTGGAGATTTCAGGCTTCGTATATGCGTACATATGAACGTGCCCCTTCTGCTTCATGCATACAGCTGCTTTTAGAGACTGAAGATGAATCAGCATTCTGCGCAATGGTCCAATCCGTTTCATAAAACCCATACTGCAGTCCCTTGTCCCTAGTAGATGTCCACCAAACTTATGCCCTTGGTGACTGCTGCTGGACTTGGAGCAAGGCCTTCAGAGAGAATTTTTTCCAATTAGCAAACATATCCTAAGGTGCTCACACCTGAAGAAGGCTCCACAGCCGAAACGTTGTGTTCTCTTTCTTCTTTTTTTCAGCATGGAATAAACCTATTACTTGTTCCTTTATATCCTAAGGAAACCAATCATTTCAGACAACTGTTTCCTGCCCAACACCCCCATTTCTGTTACAATGGAAGAAAGCAAGCTGTCCAAGTGCTTAATCCCCTAGCTTACAGGCTGCAGCTATTTTCTCAGGAAATGCCATCATACCGAAACTGATGGAGTGTGAACACATAGGAGGACCACTTCAGTTTTCTCTCAATTAAAAATGGATAAAAAATATAGGCTGCTCATAAATATAACTGACCTATTTTAACAAATGTCTTTTAAAGAAATGCATCACAAAGCAGACACATCTGGCACACATAGTGATGTGACCATGGGGAACACATTCAAATGAATAAGGAGAGAACTCTGTATCGACAGGATTACCTGCATATATGCATTATGTGGGGTCTTGTTACCTTTGGGTTCAAGCTTGTATAGCAGCTTTAGTACAGTTCTCACTGTAACTTAAATAGGCCAGTTAACATTAGAAGCTTCCTGTGTGTCAATCAGAACACAACTAATTTAGTAAATGCAATTAACGAGGTTTGCTCACATTTTTCACAAGAAATTTAAAGTACACTGGATAGAAGAATCCTGCAAAGACAACTTAGGCTCCTTTTCAAAATTGTATTAAACCAGAAAACAAAACAATTTCATGCTTCATTTCCACAGTGGTTCAATCGCGAGCTAGCTGTGTGTCTTCATATTTATAGCCACAAAAAATGCTTAGTCTCTGAGCAATCAACCTCGTACTATATCAGGGATCTCCAACCCTGGATTTTGTTACATTCCAGTTGAGATTTTAACAACTTGGATGGATACTTAATGGAGCTTCTTCCTTGTTTTGAGCAGTTTCCTTAATACTGTATATCGGAATTTTTCAAGACAACTGTAACATGGTAACTAATGGTAACCTGGGAATCTTCCACTGATTAAAATTGTCTATTTAGTCACATAATCAGTTCAAATAAGAATTTTATAAGCTGACTGGGATAGGCCAGTACTGGGATCACTGGGAACACTGGGATCAGGGTAGGGATTCCTAGCTTATAAATTCATGTGCAAAGCACAAGCTATCTGACCCAACACAAAATATTATTGGAGAGACAGTGGGATTGGAGAACTGCCTTTGACCAAATTTAATAGGAAGTCAAAGAGTGGACTGAGACTGCGGGCTGCTGGTCAGAGGGGGTCTGTGAAAGAGTTTAACAATTTGTGACAGGCCAGGCTTGTGCCTGTACAGTTTTTCAGTATGCCAGCTGATAGGTTACAGCTCCTGGGTGATCCTGCATTCTGCTGGTGAGTTGCACATGCCTCTAACTTAGCAGAGGGAAAAACACACAGCTCACACAACTTTCCCATCCCATTAGCTGGGCTGCCAGTCACATAATGACTTATTAATAACAATTAAAAACAGACATGCATTTT